TGCTTTTAGATTAAAACTAGAATAAATACTGCTACTTCTTTACATAACAAAATTTATTAAAATGCTGTTAAGTTTTTTAAAATTTTATATTTAAGAATAAATTAAATTTCAATAAATTATTTGTGACACTTAATTAATACTCTTTTCCGTCAGTGTAAATATGATTAGTTTCAGCATCGACTTAAAACCGCGAAACATGAATGACATTTCTCTTGACAATCTTCTGATTTCTTGCCCTTAAAAACACAAAAATAAACACATTTTAAACTACACTCAAATACTTCAATTTTGTCGTTAGCTATTCAAATCTTTAACTTGTATTCTGAATGTATTGGTAAACAACAATTTAATAAAAAGATACATAAAAATAAAAAATACATACCATTATTTCTTTATTATTCCCTAACACAACTCACTAGTGAAATTTTGATTCTGATGTTAATATTTGCACCATTATAAACTTTCCGGTAGATCACAAATAGATTCGGTTAAGATAACATTTTATCTCATAGAGAGAATAACATTTTATCTTAATCACTAGTCATTTCACGCATAGATTCCGTTCGCGATTATCAAGACCTGCTGGTGCTTGGTCAGAAAGGGTTATTCGAGATGAAGCTTACAAATACAGTTTTCTTTCGAGAATCAGAGTTTCAGTTTCAGAGATGAAGCTTACAAAGACAGTTCTTCAGTACACAAAACACATTGTATATCTTTGACGATAATGCAGTAATTAAAGTCACTACGCCTCTCCTTCTACACTACTGCAGTTCTTTAACTGTGCAGCTACACCATTCGCCTGGATTGTAACTTGGTTTAGTTTGGTTTCTTTGATTATAGCAAAGCACTCGAGGGTATCTGTGCTAGGGAAGCGATATTTTCATGAAAGATTTTCCAAGCAAAACTGGCTCGTATAGATGTGACAGATGGGAAATTTACTTATTGCAACATAATTCAAAATATAACAAAATGCAAAATGTATTGACATACCAGTTCATAACATTGAGATCACTCTAGTTTCAAATTCCTAAAAAACTGTCATGATGATGTGGCAGGTTCACATGGTAACATCACTTTGACAGTACATGGCACTTCCGCCGAATTTAGCAAGTCTTTCTGTATACAGTGTTACACTAATATATGATTACTTATTAGCATATCTGTCTACATATTTATAATTTTCAAATGGATTAAAGGATTGGAGGAAACTTCATTTTTCAGTTAAGATAAGTAAACCCAAAGTGATTATTTTTTAATCAAATACAAATAAAGTGATGAATGAGCAACTATCATGCTTCTTCCCTAAACATTTTTAAAAAGTGCAAATTACAATGTTATGTGGATGATGAAAATGTATTTTATTCAAAACATTTTGATATTTGGAACACAAAAGAAAAATAGCAAATACATTAAGGACAGCGAAAGAAGTATATAAATATTTACCCTTATACCAGTTAGTTATAAGGAAACTGAGCACTAAAATGTGTTACATTTATGGTATATTTTGACTTGAAGTTTTATGGTATATTTTGACATGAAGTATTTATCATTCTTAATACATAATAAAAACATTTTGCTAAAATCTATTTATAAACTATATTCTATATTAACTATTATTTTATATTTATCTAGAATTTTATAAAACAAATTCACAATCAAAATCGCCGTTGCAAGTTATCGAAAAGTAACTAAGATGTGATTTTTGCGTTAATGCCATTAATCTATACAAATTGCCATTACCCATCCAACAATGAATATTTCTTTTATGCGGAAGTGTCTCCTTTTCGATTTGTGCGGAACTGTTGTGGGTGGAAGTACCACTAAACCACTGTTAACATGCTCTAAATGTAAACAAAACACACCCGTTCTGAAAATCAAAGCTTAGCAGCATTGCGTCAGGCGTAGTGTGGGGATGGCATCTCCTTTTATTCTTACCTGCATGACAATAACAGTTTAAGGAACAGGAATCTCCTTAAGTTCAAAAATGAAGCTTAAAAAAATAGAAATTTTATTCCGATTTAAAATTGTAGAAAATTCTGCAAATAGACTTATTTAATCTATTATTCCCATTTAACTATGTGATAAATTATTTTTCTCGTTTTAGCGCATTAATTATTATATGCATTTTAAATAAAAGCTTATTGTATAAAAACCTTTTCCTAATTTCATTCTATTGGATAATCAACACGCCCACCAGCGGCCGAGCGGTAAAGTCGCTGAACACTGGTAGTTCGGTCCGAGGTTCGAATCCTGGCTGCATGGGCGTTTTCGTGGTTTTCCCCATGTGTAACGTGTATACGAGCCAGTTTTCCTTAGAAAGTCCTCCACGAAGGCATCCCTCCCCTTAGGCAGATAGCCCTCGATGCTTTGCCATAATCACACACAAACAAACTGGATAATCAACACGATAATCGATTGCGCAAACATTAAGCGGTGTAACAATCGAAATTAAAATTTTATCCCAGTTCGAGCATCTTTTGTTAATTTAAGGTTTTACGTAATTACGTAATTTTTACTAAATTACATAATTTTTGGTACAACTATTATTGTTATTATTAAGATAATCGAACATTATCCTAAATACAAAATATTTACATCTCCATAACCACAAAATATTGTTGCGTTATTTTCTTCCTTCACGTTCGTACGGGGTTTGTAGATTTGGAGTGAATAACGACGACACATTTGATGAAGTATCGAAACACACTTTATTTACCAATATTTAATCAGATAGCTCCAAAATTAATTTTACAGTCGTCGACGAACACGCTGACACGTTCAGCGACACAGCCTTCACACTGTCAGGCAATATCGGTGGAGATAGCTTCACTGCAAAGCACCCGGGTACAGCTCCCAACTCTGCTCGGTTGTTCTCGGAACTCCACGTACTCTCGAGACTCTCCACGCGATGCACTCGACGATACACAGAGTATAGCTCTCGACTCAGCACAGTCTAAGAGAAAACTCGACGATGCACTAATTCGCGATGCACTAAAAGACTCTCTCGATGCACTCGACGCCCAACTCGGCGCTAGACTTCGAGACACATGCTCAATGACTGACTATCAGCTCGCTAGACGAGACACACACACTGACTGCGGACCAGCAGGGTTTACATAGCTTTCGGCTTGTGTTCGAGAACATTCTGGGCTAAACCGGTAAGAATTCGTTCCAGAAAGTTCTCCCTCCGTCCATGATATATCGCCAATTTTGTCGCCAAATGGGCGATTTTCCGCCAAATGTGGCAACTTGTCTTCCCTTGCAACTCTAAAACTGCTTTGCGGGGGAAGACATCTCACCGCGCCTGTACATTTAGTAAGGGGACGGATGCCTTCGTGGAGCGCTTTCTAAGCGAAAGTGGCTCGCACATGGGGAAAACCACGAAGCAAAAACATGCAGCTAGTCCAGTGGCCTCGATTCGAACCCAGGTCGAATTACTAGCATTCCGCGGTCTTTAACCAGACTATTGGTGGGGGAATTACTACACCTGTTTTCATGCAAGCACTGCAGCAACCTTAGAAACTATTTTCGTAGATCCTAGAAACCTTAGATTTTTCTAGAAAGATTCGATTTTTTTAATTCCTTTTTATTTTATTTATTATTTTATTTTTGGCTAAGGAATAGTGTGGATAGTTTCCCTTTTTTAATATTACTTCAGACCAACTAGAGCAAAATCAATGAATGTATTGGCAACCTTTTTCGAATAGAAAGGTCTTACGGCAAAATATGATTGTCTCGAACTAATTTTTACAGCATTTTGCACAGCGCATCTTCCAGATTTGTCAAGAATGAAGCATAAGCAATCTATAATTTTGTTAACTTTGCTATGAGCTGCTAATTCTTTACCTCTGGTTTAAATCATGAAGATCTTGACAAAATCTTCTCCTTTCGAATATTAAGTGTGGTTTGGATGTGCGATTTGAATACGAACAACAAATATTTAAACTGAACAATCTAAGTATATAGCATGCGTTTTGTGTTATAAATTTCTGAATATGCTGTTGATGAGAAATATACAATATTCCTAACCCGAATACTGCAATTAAGAAAGAAGACAAAAATTTAATTCGAAATTTAAAATAACTTACTTAAAACTAATCTCATTCTATTTATCTCGTAATAAAAAAAAAAAAAAAGATTTAGAAAAATTATTTCAATTGAAAAGTTTTAATATTAAGCCTATTTTATAGTAAAGTATTTGTTCATCCTAGAATTTATGACCGATTTACGGAATTACCGATTTTACCGAAATAATACATTTCCATATTAAATGTCAATATTTAGAGCATGTATGAGCAAAAACGTAGGGCAGCATTCTGAAAAGCAATAGCTCAACATCCTTAGTGCTTAATTTGAATATTTAATCCAATGTGCATGCGTATAATAAATAGATATCATTCCTATGCATAACAACTCAAAGACATTTACAAGAAACCAGAACGTTTTTAAAAATTTAAATACGTATTTTTGAAGATAAGAAAGAAGTATCATCACACTCTAATCATCCATACTATTAAAATAATTAATTTCTGTCGCACAAAATTCAGAATTAATAGTTAGAAACTTCTGTTTTGAATTAGCTGTATGCAGCAATTGAATTAAATTTATACAGCAATGCTTTTATCGGATAAAGTATAAGATAAATAAATAAATCCCTATGATAATATTAATATCAATAATTATACGTCGGTACTCGAAATAATTTTTTTTTTTTTTTTTTTTTTTTTTTTTTTGCAATGAAAGCAAAATACAGTTTTTTTAGGTGATTATCTAATTTTTAGGAACACCTTTACAGCATGAAAACAAAAGCTTAAATTTATATTTTACTCGACAGACGGCGCAAAAATGAGAAAAATATCACACACTACTCGAAGTGTGAAGGAAAAGGACGAGATATTCATATCGAAGAACAGTCAGAACTAAAATAAACCCGAAAGCATAACAAAAATCCTTTCCGCTAGCGAAATAGTTATTCAAACGTACGGAAGGAAAATAACTTCCACTTCGCGATAGCAGCAGCAGAAGCGCCACCACAAGCGGTTCAACTCCGGCTTGGGAATGGATCGATAAAACAACATAGCTGAAGATTCTTCAGAATGTTCGTGCTGCTCGAAACTGGATGCACGGTTTGCGTTTGTTACTTTTCATCACAGCATCACTCAAAAACGTGTTTACCTGTTTCATCCGCATTCGTCACATGAAACTGACAACCAGAATAATTTTAATCAGGAAAAGTATATCTTACTGATTTTCGATTTCACTTTTAGCTGAGAAATGTATTTGTGTTGATGTATGGATTATTTGTTGTGAAATTTGATTTAGATTTAGAAGTGAAACTATTTTTTAAGAAAATATGTCATGAAACATAATGGACCATGCAGTTTTAAAAAAAGAGAGCGCATTATTATTCTAAAATGGAATCGCAGAGAAATCATAATGAATATCTATTATTTGAACCTCGAAATGTGATTTAAAAAAAATCTGAAAGTTTTATGAATTGAAGCAAAATGAGCTGAAAGTGAACCAATATGCAAACTTTTATTAGGCAATTCATGGCAAAAAATCAGAGATATTTTCTACCGAGCATCTGTTTCGGTAGATTATGACAGTTTAGATTTTATAAAAACAAAACTATTTGATAAATTCTGCTACAGAAACTTTGTCGAACATTACTGAAATATAAACGATGTTACAAAACAAACGAAAGTATAGTGTTTATGATGTAAAATTTACATTGTAAAAATAAATATACGTAAATTATAAAAATATGTTTAGAAATTTCGGCAACAGAATATCCTCCCTTCCTCTGAAAGACAATATTGCTGAAGAAAATAAAACAAGAAACAATGGAAGTGCTTTTTCGTTCAGAATTTATATAGTTTTTCAATTCAGCGTGTGTTTTAATTGAGTGTCGACACATTTTAACCTTTTCCTGGTGCGAACAATCAAAGGAAAAAAAAAAATTCGAAAATGAGACGGGAAAAACATGGAGTCCAACTCACTGGTAGTGTACGAATCAACATGAAAGGTAAGAATTATTTTTTTTTTAATTGAATGAATTTAGCATGGCTGTAGTAAAAGCTGCATTTAGCTCAATGTGAAGTGATCGCTAATTTTATCGTTTAGTAAATAATCACGTGACCTCAAGCTGATAAAGTAAAGTAACTTTTCCGTTTGCGCTTGATTCGTTGAACAAAAGTTTCACAAGTTTATTTCCTGTTTTAACTTCCTTAAATTTTTCCTGTAAATTATACAAATCTTTTATTTCACATTTTAAATTCATTCGATACAGTATCTCAATAAATAGAGAATTTCTGTGAAACAATTTTCCAGGTGGGGGAATTTAAATAAGGATTCAATTTTATATTGTTTACTATCTTGTATGAAATAAACTAAGTATTGCAATTCTGAAAAATTTCGGTTATCAGATTTCAACGCAAATATCCATTTTGACCTGTTCTCGAATCCATTTTGACTTTTTTTTTCATGACGTCTTTACGTGCGGACAACTCTTTACTCCAAAACGGATTGTAGAATACATTAAAAATGGACTTTTTATTCTGACGTCTCTGTACGTGCGTATATATGTATTTCGCCTAACTCAAAAAAGATTAGCCGTAGAACATTGAAATTTTGCATATGGGACTGCTATAACTTCTAATTATGCACTTCGCTTTTTTATTGCAATCGGCACTACCAAAAGTATATATTATATATATATATATATATATTACGTTGACTGCCCCAGGAAAATGGGTAAAATACTCTGTCGTATCATTTTTTAATTCTAGTGTTTTCTTGGCTCATTAATCCTAAAAATCAGTTTAGTACCTAGTTTTCATTTGAACTTGTTTTTTTCCTTTATTTTCACATTTCATTTACAGTTGCATGAAAATGACTTCATTTGCACGAAACTTCTATATTTTTTGCACTTATAAATAGATGAGAATTTAATTCATCGTAAAGTAAGTAATACAGGAGTTCATTTTCTTGATGGTGAAAATTAGTAAACTAGACAAATAGTATGCTACAATACAAATTTGTGAAGCACCGGTGACTCACACGGCTTCAAGCAATACAAAGCCTTTGAATCACATTCGATGCACACGGCTCCGAGAAGTAAGGTCTATGTGAATCGTACATGGCAGCCAAGGTGATAAATATATATATATAAACCCCCTTTACTCGGCTTAAGGCTTAAAATTCCTTCTCGGTGTTTATTTTCGCAATTGTTGATCATATGTGATTGTAGTCATAAACTTCCAGCTACAGAAGTATTTTAAATGATGAACCTGTTCATGTTCTAGCAATGTCAAAATAAAAAAAAAAAAAAAAAAAAAGACAAATAACAAAATCCAACTTTCATTGCGGTCTCCTGGTTCCTGTATGTGAAAGTTTTATACTCGTTATCAAAAAATAAAAATACAAGAAGTTTGAGTATCGTACGATAAAAATTAAGCGGGTTATTTAATCTGAAAATTTGCAATTTTTTATGTCGTTTTCAACTTACCTTGAGGAATCGGTTAATTAAGTTAGAATAATTCGAGGGAACAAATTTAAATGAAGTGAAGTAAAAAACGTATATAATTTAATAGGCCGTAATAGGAAGTCATATGGTGTTCATGTCATATATATTTTTTATTATTTTGTTTTATGATTGATTAGGCAAGAATGTTAGATTAAAATGTTTAATGACATATTAAATTGTTTAAATGCTATTTTATTCATTTAATACCAAAAGATAAACAGAGTAATATTTTTAATATCATTATTTTGTCATTCTAGAAATGTTTATACTCTAATTAAAAAAAAAAAAAAATTAACATCTGTATTATTTTTAGTTAAATATCTGAGAGCAATGTTTGATAATTATATTGTGAAATTTTCTAAGAAATATTTGATAACATATTTGTTGATGATGGTTAATCGATTATTGCAATCATGGGTGGGCTTCTATGCCTAGGCCTGTCTTTGTGGGACACCACTCTTTAAGAGAAACTAGCTTTTATTTACTTTTACTTGCAAAAACAACGGAAGCCCCATGCATAAAAGCTGTTAACTGAGAGTTAAATGAATAGTGGTGAAAACTGATCTTTATGGCAGAGAGCTTTATCTTATTAAAGAATCCAATCTAACACAATTGTTTTTGTTTATTTATTTGGGTAAAATTGCGTGTATTTTTTGTTTACCTGAGAGTTAACTTGCCTGATAAATAAAGTCACTTTTAATTTAGTTTTTCCAATATATATTACTTATTAAAGCGAGTAAAAATTAGCAAATCATTAACAAATTTATTTAAAGCAGATTTCCTTCAGAAGTAACTGACTACCATAAAACAATGAAAGCTAGCTTTCTTGGAAGAAATAACTTCGTGGAGGATTTCCTAAGGCAAGCGTTCACATATTTATATTAACGCATGGGTAGGGAAGCCTACTATGGTACCAAAAAACCGTCGCTCGAATCCCGCAAAGGCATGATTGCAGCTGTCCGTCCCTTCATAGGAAGCGAAGGTGGCCGCCCATTAGGTGCGTCCATAATAAAATGGCTTCCACTTTATGTCTTAGGAGTGGCCAGTGCTCAATAAACAAGAGCCCGCCATTGGATTAAAAAAAAAATAATGCATGGCAGAAAGTACAGTTTCCTTACACCTCAATCCGCCTGGGGGCTTTCGCGGCTTTCTCCATGTGTAATGTGACTATTGGATAGAGTTTTGTTAAAAAATCTACACGGAAGCATATTCTGCTTAAAAATTTTGAACAAATATTTACTCTTCCACTAATAACGTGAACTCGGGAAGATGCAAGATTTTTTATTTGGTAGGCTGTTTTTCTATATTGGTTCCTAGTGACATTAAATTTCCTCTCTATCTCTATTTAATATTTATTTTCTTCATATTCTATACATTAATGCAACATTTATTTTAGTAGCTGTTGCATTTATTATATTTAAATTCAGTAGTCTTTATGATCAAACTTTTATATACATATGTTTAAATTAGCTACATATGTTTAAATTAGTTAAAAGAAAACATATTAAATCCTAGTAAATGTGTTAATTAAATCGTTTGTCATACTTATGTATTTTAAGTATAGCAAAACTCTGATTTTATACTCTAACTGGTGTCTAAACATACGATGATAGTCGGAACGACGAAAATCAAAGCAAATTTTTTCATAGACCCCAAAATTTAAACAGGTATAGGTTGGTATTATTTAAATTATTTTAAATAATACCAACCTATACCTTAATTTATTTAAATTTTTGCCAAAAAATAAAGACGACGTTCTTAAGGAGGGGGGAGGTAGAGGGAATACGAACAAAATTAAAATTTTTGCAGTTTTGTGTAACGCAAAGATTATTCACACTATTTCACTGATTATTCTATTTCATTTTTCAAAGATCATAATATGAATAATGGACATCATAATTAAATAACTAAGTGATCTTGGTGTGAGAAGTTTCTTGTCAAAGGCAAGAGTACTCTTTTATTACACTTTTTTCTTTAATTATTGCTATTCTGGAGTCATCTGAATCGTAATGAGGGATCTTAATTCCAGTCCCAATGGACTTAGGATCAGTTTGTTTGAAAATGTTTTGATTCTGGATTTCTAGATCATTAAGGGTGGGAGTACACTTATGGACGACTTACAAAGAAAATTGTTTGTATTCATGTTACACTTGAAGAAAACCACGAAAACGCTTATGGTTATGGGAATTCCGAAGTTTTACAATCTGTTCAGTGTCGATTTACATATTAAATTCTTTTCCCCTAGAAATAACTTTATCAGTTACAAAACAAACAAGAATTGGTTTTTGAATTAAGAATATACGTGGTGAAACATATTTACAACGTTCCCTCCCCCCGAAAGCATAATGTCAAAAACATGCGAAGAATTCATTTCGAATATGAATAAATGCCAGAAAGAAAAAACACTTCCTATTTGCTGCATCAGACGAATAAATACTGGGTGACGTACTTCCAGGTACTGCTAATCAGACTATTGTTGTATATCTACTCAAGTGTTTATCTATTCGAACTGTCAACGACTCAGGTAAATAATAATAATAATAACAATAATAATAAAGAATAAATCGTACAATTATCAGCCATAATAGAAATCTCTAAAGTAACTTCTGGAGCTTTAGATTTATTTATTTTTTCAAATTGTAACAATACTTTTATTATTTCGAATTGTAACAATACTTGATGGCTATACGCAGCTTGGCAACAAAACTTTTCTTGGCCGATGTTACTGTAGTAGGAAAATATTGAAGTAACGAATTTATTTATTTTGTTCAGCGACGAATTAACCTATATCATAAATCTCCTGTTAAAATTGAAATCTGAATATTCTGTTACAAAATTAAAGATGTGATGAAGATGGTTTTGTGATAATAGGAAAAGCAAAACTAAAAGAAACATTAATACCAAGGTAGATTCTTGAGACAGCTGTTATTTTCCCAAGACATGCTGAGGGCAACTGAACACTTACGAGTACTTGAAGCTTTTTCCTGAGTGAGCATCTTATATTTTTACTTCGAAAGAAAAAAAAAAAAAAAAAAAAAAAAAACAGAATTATCAGTAGGTTATGAAAACAAATAACAATATTGTGCTATGTACGATACATTCTAACTGTGAATATTTTATCATGGCCTGTTGGAACTGGGAGAAGGGCTGTAATAATTTATTCCCAAGTTAATACAATTTAATATAGTAATCTATAAATTTATTTGGTTATCCGCACCAATTAATTTTATTAAATTTATTCTGATTATCCGCAGCACCACCGAAAAGTCGCGAACTCTTTGGCGATTGTGGACAGCAATCGCAAACTGGTAGGCGACTTTGGAGAAAAACGTCTGTTTGGGTATATTTACATCTATTTCAACAAAGCATCCAGTTTCACCTATACATTTACATTCTTCTTTCTTCATACACGACCCGCACACGTCTCAGTTTTTTTCAGTGTTGTTCTCCTCATGTACACAGCGATCTATCTTCGCTAAAAGAATTCCAGAGAGTGTCAG